AGAGTGGACTTGCCAGCCAGATGAACAAAAAGAAGGTCTGAAAATGTAGTTCAGTAGTACAGTGCCCCTGAGTTCAATCCTCAGCACCCCCCAAAAACACAACAAATTGACAAAGAACAAATAATGCATGGAATGTTCAAGCCAATCCTTCAGACAGAATACAAACCTCAAAGTAAAGAGGAAAAGACCTACCACAATTAAGTGCCCCAAAGTTTGTTGAAAGGTGTGTGCTAGATCTTACCTAAGCATGATTCCACCCAGACGAATGGCTCTCTTCCAGTCCTTCAGAGTGGACTTGCCAGCCAGATGAACAAAATGCTTGGGGCTGATCAACTGATCATTGAACTAAAGTTAAAAAAAAAAAAAAAAAAGTCCAAAGCAGTTCAATGTCAATTTAGGCAAGTCAAGAGGGAAAAGAATGAAATGATAACTCTATTTGTTACATACAAAACAATGCCCAGATAGAAAATGAATTGATTAGTATCTACTATCGACTTAAACTTTGAATCCAGAAGTTTGTTCTAGTGTTGGAAAGGCTGAGGAAATTAACTGAAATAATCTATCCATCCTAAAGGTCAAGATTCAGGATGGTGGAAAGAACAAGTGTGGTAGAAAACAACAGCACTGCAGAGCCTTGAAATTCTGTAATCCTAATTAATCTAGGATGATGCCATTGTAATAACTAGTATCTATGGATACTGATGTAGCCACCAATCAAGAGCATAATGTGAACAAAATTGTTCATTCTGTCTTTATTGGTGACAGACAGAATGAACAATTCTGTTCACATTATGCTCTTGTAAAGATTATTTTTATAAATAATAATTTTGAATAAACTCTTCCACAATACATACTAGTATAAGGCATTTACATATATTATCTGATTTAAACTAGCAGTTTTGCATTATAGATATTGATATGTGTAAAAATACATATATACGTGTGTATATATACATACATACACACACATACACACACACATATGATTATTTCGATTTTAGGATGAGGCTCTGAAATATTAAAAAACTTGGTCAATGGCTGGGGTTGTGGCTCAGAGGAAGAGCACTTGCCTATTATGTGTGAGGTAATGGGTTCGATTCTCAGCACTACATACAAATAAATGAATAAAATAAAGGTCAATCAATTAAAAAAAAAAACTTGGTCAAGGTCATCCAGTTAGTCATTCATTGAACAAATATTTATTGATTATCTATTATACATCATGGACCATTCAAGCTAGGTATATAGCTTAGTGGTAGTTGTATGCTTATTATGTATAAGGCCCTAGGTTTGATCCCCAGATCCAAAAAGGAAGGAAAAAAAAAAAAAAAAGGAACATTTTAAAGGTTGGATTTATAGTAGTGAACAAAACAGGTAAGTCTTCTACTCTCATAGGACTTATATTCCAATAGGACTTAAATACAGGTCAACCCTTATTTTTTCTACTGTGAAATGATAGAACAACAGCTATAAAATCAAAAACATTGATTAGGAGCTGGGAGTGTAGCTCAGTGGTAGAGCTTGCCTAGCATGTTCAAGGCCATGGGTTGCATCCCCAAAACTGCAGAAAAAGGAAAAAAAAAAAAAAAAAGATTTGGTGGAAGAGAGAGAGGAGGCACTGAAACAACACCCT